TGGTGCCACCTTACACTCCACAGCAAAATGGGATTGCAGAACGCAAGAACAGAACCATCATGAATATGGTGAGAAGTATGTTGAATGGAAAGCATCTACCTAAAGAATTATGGGGAGAAGCAGTTTCGACAGCAACATATATATTGAACAGATGTCCGACGAAGAAGCTTGAAGGAATCACACCAGAAGAATGTTGGTCTGGTGTCAAGCCTAGTCTCAGTCACTTGAAGGTGTTTGGATCTATAGCACATAGACATGTGCCAGATCAGTTGAGAAGAAAGCTTGATGATAAGTCGAATCAGATGATCTTGATAGGATATCATTCGACAGGAGGTTACAAGTTGTTTGACCCAGTGAATAAGCAGGTAGTGATCAGCAGGGATGTGATCATAGATGAGCTTAAAGAATGGGATTGGACTGAGAATGCCAAGAAGGATTCAGTGAGAATCTCTTGTGAAGAACCAGCCACTGAAGTCGAAATAGAAGTTCGACAGGAACCAGTTGCAGATGAAGCAGGTTCAAGCAGACCTCGACGAACAAGACACATGCCTGCAAGGTTGCAAGAATGTGTAATTACATCAGATGATATAGTCGATGAAGAGGGTGAGTTGGTACATTATGCTTTTTACGCAGATGTCGAACCTGTCAATGCAGTTGAGGCATTGAAAGATTCGAAGTGGATGAAAGCAATGCCTGAAGAGTTGGAGTCCATCGAAGTCAATGATACCTGGTCACTTGTCGAATTGCCACAATGCAAGAAGGCAATTGATGTGAAGTGGGTTTACAAGGTAAAGGTAAATCCTAAAAAAGAAGTAACTCGACACAAGGCGAGACTTGTGGCGAAAGGATTTCTTCAGAAGGAAGGAGTCGACTTCGATGAAGTATTCGCACCTGTTGCTAGAATCGAAACAATCAGGTTGGTTGTTGGTCTAGCAAATATGAACAACTGGCACACATGTCAGATGGACGTGAAGTATGCATTCCTTAATGACCCCTTAGACGAAGAAGTTTATGTTGCACAACCAGCTGGGTTTGTGAAACAAGGCGAAGAAATCACAGGGAAGAATCATGGAGCAATTACCATGAAGATAGACAGCATGTCAGCTATCATCTTGGCAAAGAATCCAATAACTCATGGTCGAAGCAAGTACATCGAAATGAGGTTCCATTATCTCTGAGAGCGGGTAGCAGAAGGGAAGATGAAGTTGGAACACTGCAGAACTGAGAATCAGATTGCAGATATCATGACGAAGGGAGTGCAGGTCGAAGCCTTCAGAAGACTAAGGGCCATGATGAATGTAGACAGTTTAGACACAATGAATTAGGTGGTGTGTTAAATATAATTCATTGTGTAAACAGATTTAATTTGATATCATATGATTAGATTTGATATCATATGATTAGATTTGATATCATATGATTAATTTGATATGACATGATTAGATATCATATGATTATATTTGATATCATATGATTAAATTTAATTTAGAATATTTTGGGCCTTTTATGTTTTGGGCTAGTGTAAACCTAAAATTATAAATAGGGTGCCTTGCTTTGTATTCTACATCACAACAGAACAGATTTGATAGTTGCAGTTAGCAAGTGAAAGTTCAATAAGAAATCCCACAGTTGTGGGTAACACATTCTCTCTAAATACTTCTTCTCTCATTCTTCTCTTTCTTGTTTGTTATTCTTCTTCTCTTTTGTTGTTCTTGATAATTACTTGTTATTACCATCATTATCATATTGTGGGTTTGTTCATCAATCTTGAGATCAAGATTGAAGGGAATTCTTCATAGGGTGTGAGGTGAATTTCCAACACATATAGCTAATACCTTAAAATTTTGGAAAAAGATATGCCTTCTCTTTCTTGTGGTCATAAACCCTATTATAGGAGGTGAGAACTTACATTAGTAAAAAAGAATTTTGAGTTTAAGAATGAGTGATGGAGTCTCATTATTTATAAAAGATATTATCTATATACCTAATGCCATAAACAATTTGTCTTTAACTAAATTTCATTAAATACTCAAGGTCAATCATTAAATTTATTAAAGTCAAATTTGAATACACGTTTTCAAATTATTCTATCATTTAAAATAGAGGACTATAGTTTTAATATGATTGTATTAATATTAAAGACTTAATGAATTACTAATTTTTGTCTTTAACTAAATTTCATTAAACACTCGAGGTCAATTATTAAATTTATTAAAGTCAAATTTGAATACACATTATCAAGTTATTCAATCATTTAAGTAAGAGGACTATAGTTTTAATATGATTTTATTAATATTAAAGACTTAATGCAATATTTTTAGCAACAATTTGATCATCAATAATCCTTTTAAAAGGATTATTTAGTTCTTGAAGATAGTTTCTTTTGTCAACCATCTTATATATTGAGAAGAAGTATCCATTGTTAACTTAGAGAGTATAACTTCTTTCATTGACAATTATATTTTTATCGCAAAATCAATGAATATCATCATCATCATTATCATCTTTTTTTCGCCTTTATACTTCTCCAACTTCTCTATACACATATCAATAGCTTCTCTTTATTTCTTGAGTTTAATTCGATTTTATTGAACGACCTATCATACACGATTAAAACTTGAATTGTACATCAATTTTTAAATTATGTAATTGTATAAGAAATATAAACTATAACATCTTAGAACCAATTGAGAAGAAAAGAGTTATTTCGAGTATCAATTTGACCACTGTCCTTGTTTTCTCTTTGTTAGGAAGATCCTAAAGTCTAACATTGGTTGTAGATAGAGTATTGAAACAATTTATATAGAGTGACACCCATCACCTTACCAACCAGTTTTGTAAGTGTTAAGTATTAACAAGTGTGAGTAGGGTGGATAATAGTCCCACATTGGATAGAAATGTTGTGACTTGAGCATTTATAAGTGAGAGAACCCATACACCTATCACCTTAAGGTTTTGGGTGAGTATGTGGTGTGTCTCTCACAAAGGTTGCTCTAGAAAAAAGTCCCACTATGTTCAATGCTCCTTAGTTGAAAGTATAACAGTGATATCAGAGCCTTTGGTTCGAATAAAGGGAATGACTTACTTGTATCGAAAGTATCCCCATAGGTTGTGGGTTGAGTGTCTCGTTGAAGAATGTCAACAGCGGTACAAGGGTGCAGTTGCACGGAAGTTTCCGCTTAAGGGAGAGCATTGAGATAGACTCACACTTGGGGGAGAGTGTTAAGTATTAACAAGTGCGAGTAGGGTGGATAATAGTCCCACATTGGATAGAAATGTGGTGACTTGAGGTTTTGGGTGAGTATGTGGTGTGTCTCTCACAAAGGTTGCTCTAGAAAAAAGTCCCACTATGTTCAATACTCCCTAGTTGAAAGTCCAACAGTAAGGTTGTGTTAGGCCAAACTCTAATATGGTATCAGAGCCTATCGATCGAATCTTAGACAGTCCACCGTTTAAAATCCACGTACCAAGCCCAAAAAGAGTGCTGAACATGAGGGGGTGTGTTAGAAAGATCCTAAAGTCTCACATTGGTTAGAGATAGAGCATTGAAATAGTTTATATAGAGTGACACCCCTCACCTTACCAACCGGTTTTATAAGGTTGTGTTAGGCCAAACACTAATGCTCTCAAAGTAAAGCAATTTATTTTTCACCTAACATTATATATGTAGTTGTATATTACTTAAACTTAACACCAAATTGAACCTTCTACCCCCCAAACTACTATATATCAAGTATGCATGGTATTTGGATAGTGATATAGTGGATTAATTTTTTTAAAAAAATTTATAATCAAACATATTATTGTGATCAAATCATCCACTTCACAATCAACATGAGTTAAGTCTATTTGAAGAAGCTAGTCTAAAATATATAGGGATAATAAAAAATATTTTATAATGTCATCCAATTATATTTCACAATCATAATGAAATATGATTGAATAATAATTGTTATAATAATATAACAAGTGTGAGTAGTATGGATAGTAATCCCATATTGGATAGGGATGTGGTGACTTCAACATTTATAAGTGGGAGAACCCATACACCTATCACCTTAAGGTTTTTGGTGAATATGTGGTATCTCTCTCACTTGTGTTGCTTTTGGCCTAATATTCAATGCTCCCTAGTATAAATCTCCTCTAACATGGTATCAGAGCTTGGTTCGTAAAGTGACCGACTTACATGTATCGAAATGTCCAGAAAGTGGTGTCCCGTTGAAATCGAAATATCCAAGGAAGAGGTATATCAAAAATACCTAGGTGTCAACGGCGGTACAAATATATATGGACAAAAGAGTTTCCACATGAGGGGGAGCATTGTGAACTCATACTTGAGGGGGAGTTTTAGAATAATATAACAAGTGTGAGTAGTATGAATAATAGTCTCACATTAGATAAGAATATGACAACTTTAACATTTATAAGTTGGAGAACCCATACACCTATCACCTTAAGGTTTTGGTAGAATATGTGGTACCTCTCTCACGTGTGTTGTTCTTGGCCTAATATTCAATGTTCCGTAGTGTAAAACTCCTCTAACAATAACATTAAACATTTACATTATCACTTGCTATATCTATTGTAAATCAAATTTAAATATACATATAACAAAAAATATTAATAATAAAAACATAAATTTATTTGAATTATTTTAAGTTAAAAAACTACATTAATGCATATCTAATGCCTTAAAATTTTAATCAATTTTTTTCATATAATTATTGTCATTTGGTAAACTTTAAATTATTTTGTAGTAAAGAAAATATTCAAATGCTAAAGTAATAATATGATACCATTTTTTATTTTTTGTGCAACTTTATTTTTTTTTCCCGTATTTGTTAGGAAGGTACATTGTATAATCTACGATCTACATCCAGCTGCACTGATAAGCTAGATGCATAGAATTTATTTGATCTATTTAAATGTGCAAAATCTTACGAGAGTTTCGCAAAAGAAAGAGACAAAAAGGGGTAGGGAGTGTATAATTTTCTCCAACTATGGAGAATAATGGTCGAGTATGCACCATTTGCAATAGGTTTTTTTCTAATGGGAAGGCTTTGGGAGGCCACATAAAGTCCCACTATTCCAAATTACCAATCCCTCCAAAACCTCCATTAAATAGTCAAATACCTGAATATTCGATAGTGTCAACCCAACATTCAAATCAGTTCATCACCACACCTTCCTTATCAACTGCCAATACAAGAAATAACTCTATACACAATCTTAGATCTTTGAAAAGAAACTTCTATTATAACCTAGAAAACTTTGGTAGGAAAACCATGTTTGAGTTTTATCCAAAAAACCCAACTGGAAAAAGATCAAAACGCAGTCGTAGAAAATTCAATGTGGTTGAAGAGAAAGAAAAGAAAACCCAATTTAGTGTGGCTGAAGAAAGAGAAGAGAATGCACAATTTAACGTGGCTGAAGAAAATGAAGAGATTACACAATTTCAATTAGTGTATGATGATTTTGATATGGAAGCTGCTAAAACACTGGTTATTATTTGTGCAAAAGAATGGCAACAAATCGAGGAGAAATACTATCAAAATAAGGAAAAAAATTTGTGAAAATTGCACCATTGGATTTAAGCATGATATTGTAAATGTAGAAGTGCATAAGTGTTTCTATTGCTTTGAAATCTTCGAATCTGATAAATTACTTGAGGAACATATGAAGGCACACCTATCTTATTCTTCTTATTCTAAGCCATAGAAACATGGTTTTGAATTGCGGTTGTGGTTGTTGGTTTAGATTTTAATGTCATTACATTTTCTTTGTTTAAATAATGTTAAGCATTTGTGTTTATTTTATTTTGATTATTATGTAAGAATTATTGTTGGTAATTTTTATCTATTTTTCATGTTACTTATTGTTTTTTGCTACAACAAATTCCTATTGAAATAGACCTCTCAATTTTAGATTTAAACTTTCTGCAATAAAATTATGACGCAGTTATAAGTGGTAATCAATCTTTATCATTTATTTGTTATCAAATGGTATAAACTACACTATGAGTAATTTAATGATAAACAGTCCCGACTATTAACCTAAGACTAGACGAGCGAGTTCTATAACTTTACGCCTCTGTTGCAACAGCCAATCTAAATTTCTCAACACCTAACAAATTGTTATTAATATTAGATAAAATAAATTAAATTTATTGATTAGCATATTAGTGCAATCTAAATCTTAAATTTTTTTTATTTAACTTATTTTTATTAGAAGTAATTCATATTTATTAGTTGTACTATTTTCTTAACCCCTAAGTTTGTTAGAGGGTATTTTAGTATTTTTATCTTATTCTAGTAACCCTAGTATTAGCTTATAAATAGGGTAACAATCATTGCAATTTTGTAGAGTGTGTAGCCGTCATTCTCTTAATAGAATATTTCTCTCTTCATCATTTATTCTACCTTTGCACCAACAATTGGTATCTAGAGCTCCGGTTCAGATTCATTGGGAAACACGGGTGAACGTGAGGTCTTGTGTGTTGGATTTTGATTCTTAGATTCGTGTTGAATCTTGAACAAAATCTGATCAGACTTTTAATTCTGTGGGTTGGGAAACACTGTGTGAGAAATCTGAGTGTACTGTGCAAGATAGAAGATGAACGGAAACGACAACATGAACACCAAACTTCCAGTATTTGACGGTAAAAACTGGAACCGTTGGATAATCCAAATGCGTGTACTGTTTGGTGCTCAAGATGTTCTAGATCTTGTCGCTGATGGTTATGTTCCAGTAGCAGCAAATGCAACAGATGAACAGAAAAACACGCAGAAGGAAGTAAGGAAGAAGGATCAGAAAGCATTGTTCTTCATTCATCAATGTGTGGATGTAAATGTGTTTGAGAAGATTGCAGATTCAACAACAGCAAAGGTTGCGTGAGACACACTGGTGAGATGTTATGGTGGTGATGCATCAGTGAAGTAGGTGAAGCTTCAGTCCTTGAGAAAGCAATATGAGGATCTCAACATGAAGAATAATGAGAAAGTCTCTGAATGCATCTCCAGAATGATTCTGATCACTAATGAGATGAAGGGGTGTGGAGAAACTCTTTCTGAAGAAGCAATCATGGAGAAAGTATTGAGATCTCTTACCCCTCAATTTGATTACATTGTGGTAGCAATAGAACATTCCAAAGATCTGAGCACCATGAGAATTGAAGAGCTGCAGAGCAGTCTAGAAACGCAAGAGTTGCGTTTGACTGAGAGAACTTCTGAAAAGGAAGTAGAGCAGCAGGCTCTGAAAGCAACTTCTGATAGGAGGTATCAGAAACAGTCAGAAGCCAGGAGAAGATCTGATGGTGGTCAGAAGTCAGAAAGCTCAACCTCTGATAGACAAAAGAATGCTCAGAAGGGAAAAGTGAAGTATGACAAGAAGAAGATCCAATGTTACTGTTGTAAGAAGTTTGGTCACTTTGCTAGAGATTGTTGGTCAAACAAGGAGAGAAAATCAGAAGAAGCAAATATAGCCAGAAGTTCTGATGACGAATTTGTGCTATTGATGGCCTCTGAATCTGATAATATGGATCTGATAGACTGGTGGTATATGGACACTGGTTGTTCAAATCATCTTACTGGAAACAAGAAATGGCTGATTGACTTTGACTCTAAAAAGAGAACAAAGATCAGATGTGCTGATGACAAATATCTTAATGCAGAAGGTATGGGAAATGTCAGAGTTATTCTGAACAATGGGAAAACAACATTGATTCAGAACGTGTGGTATGTACCTGGCATCAGAAGCAATTTGATGAGTGTGGGACAATTAATTGAGAAAGGATTTTCAGTTACCATGAAGGACAATCTTCTGAAGCTGTATGACTGCAATCAGAAGTGGATTATAGAGTCAGAACAGGGAAGGAATAGAACATTCAAGGTGAATGTTAGAACTGCAGACTCAGAATGTCTTAGTGCAACAAGTGCTGAGAAGGAGGGTGAGCTGTGGCACAGAAGATTTGGTCATTTGAATTTCAGAAGCTTAAAACATCTGAATTCAAAGAAGTTGGTACATGGAATTCCTGCAATTAAGAAGCCTGAAAAGTCATGCAAAGTTTGCATGGAAGGAAAAGAACCACGATTGCTATTTGCGTCAGAAGCTGCTCCAAGAGCAAAACATGCCTTGGGAGTTGTACATTCTGATGTGTGTGGTCCATTTCCAGTAGCATCAATTGGAGGGAATACATACTTTGTGTTGTTTGTTGATGAATTCACAAGAATGACATGGGTATCCCTTATTAAGTTTAAACATGAGGTGTTTGATGAATTCAAGAAGTTCAGAATGAAGGCTGAGAATCAGAGTGGTCAGAAGTTGAAGATTCTTAGAACTGATGGTGGAGGTGAGTATAACTCCAAAGAGTTCCAGAAGTTCTGTGAGGAGAATGGAATTGAGCATGAGGTTACTGTTCCTTATACCCCTCAACACAATGGTCTTGCTGAAAGAAGAAACCGCACTTTGCTTGATATGGTGAGAAGCATGCTAAAGGAGAAGAAGCTTCCTCAGAAGCTCTGGGGAGAAGCTGTTGCCACTGCAACGTATGTACTCAGCAGATGTCCTACGAAGAAGTTGAATGAAATAGTTCCAATACAGAAGTGGACTGGAGATAAGCAAAGTGTTAGTCATCTGAAGGTGTTTGGTTCTGTTTGCTATAAACATGTTCCAGAAGCCAGAAGACAGAAGCTGGATGATAGAAGCAAAGTGATGATTCTGATAGGGTACCATAGTACAGGTGCATACAAGTTCTATTGTCCAGAAACCAATAAAATTGAATTCAGCAGAGATGTGATTGTGAAGGAATCAGAAGTTTGGAATTGGGATAAGTCTCAATCTGACTCGGATGTTAGAACTTCTGAAGAAAGGTCAGAGTTAAGAATTTCTGAAGTTGGAGTAAATTCTAACGTTGACTCTGATAGTGATTTAGACTCTGGAGAAGACTCAGAAGATGAAGGTGACTATGATGATCCAGACTCTGATGACAATCCAGATTTTGGTGGCAATTCAGACTCTGAAGATGGCCAAGGCTCTGGAGGAAGTCAAGCCTCTGAAGCTAGAAATTCTGAAGTTTAAGACTCTGGAAATATGCCAGACCCTGAAGATGGTCAAAGCTCTGGAGGAAGTCAATCATCTGAAGCTCAAGACTTTGAACAAGTTCAAAGACCACAAAGAATCAGAAACGTTCCCATAAGATATGCAGAATTTGACATGCTGCAGGACACTGAAGTAGACTCTGAAGGAGAAGTTATTCAGTGTGCCATGATAATAGACTCTGAACCCATAAGTACAGAAGAGGCTCTTAAGAAGAAGCTCTGGCTGAAGGCCATGAAAGAAGAACTTGATGCTATAGAGAGAAACAAGACTTGGAAGCTGACAGAACTTCCAAAAGACAAGAAAGCCATCAGCGTCAGATGGGTTTTCAAGCAGAAGTTAAAGCCAGATGGTTCAATTGGAAAATATAAAGCAAGGTTGGTAGCCAGAGGATTTCTACAGAAACCTGGGCTGGATTATTCTGAAGTGTTTGCACCTGTAGCAAGACATGAAACAATCAGAATGGTGATTGCAATAGCTGCTAACAAGAATTGACCTCTGATGCATTTAGATGTAAAATCTGCATTTCTAAACGGTCCATTAGAAGAAGAAGTTGATGTGTCATAACCTCCTGGATTTGTGAAAAGAATTAGGAAGGGATGGTGTACAGATTATACAAAGCTCTATATGGACTAAAACAAGCGCCCAGAGCTTGGAATCAGAAGATTGATTCATTTTTCAAGAAGCAAGGCTTTCAGAAATGTGAGATGGAGTACGATGTCTATGTTCAGCATACTTCTGAAGGCAATATGACTCTGGTATGTTTATATGTTGATGATATACTATTGACTGGAAGTTCTGAACAGGAGATAGCCAAGTTCAAGAAAGTTCTGATGAATGAATTTGAAATGACTGATCTAGGCAAAATGACATACTTTCTAAGGATGGAGTTCAAATATTCTGAGAAAGGTATCATTTTGCATCAGCTCAAGTATGAATTAGAACTTCTGAAGAGATTTGAATTGAAGAATTGTAAGATTGCTGTCACACCTTTAGATACAAATCAGAAACTGGATTCTGACTCTGATGGAAAGGATGTGGACGCTACAACCTTCAAACAGTTGGTTGGTTCTCTGAGGTATCTGTGCAATACCAGACCTGATATTTGCTATTCTGTTGGGATGGTTAGTAGGTTCATGAGTAAACATAAGTGGTCCCATTACCAAGCTGCTGTCAGGATTCTGAGGTATATCAAGGGAACTATGAAGTATGGAGTGTTGTTTCCTTCTGGAAGAAAGGATGAGTCAGAACTTCTGAGTTATTCAGATTCTGATTGGTGTGGAGACAGAGTTGACAGAAGAAGTACCTCTGGGTACTTGTTCAAATTTCTGGGAGGTCCCATTTCTTGGTGTTCCTAGAAGCAACCTGTTGTGGCGTTATCAACCTGTGAAGCTGAATATATTGCAGGTGCTGTTACTGCATGCCAAGCTGTGTGGATTCTGAATCTGTTGCAGGATCTGAAGATTAAAATAAACAAACC